AAGCTGGCCATAAAGAAATTCTCCGATCCACCCTGTCTCACTGTAGGTCATAAGACTTCTTCTAGAAGGGGTCCTGTCCTAGACCTCGGGGAAGGGAATGCCAGAGAGAGAGAGATCAAGAAGAATCTGAATAGACAGGCATATGGTGGGTTTCCCCACTCAGTCTGTTAACACTGTATTATTTCCTTTTTTGTCTAATCACATTTCTTCACATTGTCCATTCCTCACCAAAACTAAGCATAAAAAGAAATAGTTTTCCCCGAGTCTTCATTTCTGAAGTTTTCTTTGTTATGTAAAACTTTTATTACATATAAAATCTGGTGTGCTTTTCTCTTGTTAACCTGTCTCTTGTTATGGGAGTGTCGCCATGATCCTTGTGACGGGTGAGGAATGGTATCATACCTTTCTGCCCCTACAGTCCTCAGTGTGTACAGAATACCTGGTAAAAGAATAAATACATGACAAATACCTAATTTTGGAACGCACCACTATAAATTTTAGATCAAATATGTGTTTCTAAAAAAAAAATCTATCTGCTGCCAGAATGTTAGAATGTTAGTGAGCTTCCAGCTTACCATGAGTGAAAATTTATGTCCCAAGGTCTGTGTTGGTGTAGCTATTATTGCCTTGAAGGGAAATGTGATGTGCCTTTCTGTAATCGCCGTATTGACAATCAGTACGATGCCTAGTGAGATTTATCTCTGTACAGGGTCTCATTATTATTCCTATTTCAAATTACTGTTGTAGAAATACTGTTGCCTCTATGCATACTTGCAGACCAAATGCTTGTTTCATATCAAGTTAGGTTATATGGTGGGCAGTGTTGTAATAAGGTCACTGTTGATGGTCCTGAGTGAGTCATTTCCACTAGTGACTATCTCCCTAACAGAATAACCAGAATAATTATTTAGACATGATTTTGAGTGAGTTGAACTGGATAAGGTGTGTGGTAGAGACTTGGCTGATGACTCCACGTGTCTGTCACCTCCTTATCTCTACACTCGCTGGAATGCTGTCTCTCACTGACTCTGAGCTTGCCAACATAACTTGCCTTGGCCGAAGGGATAAGACCATGCCTGATGCAAGTGGAGGTGTGAAAACATGCTTGTCTGTTTCCATTCTGTTCTCTTGGACGCCCCCGCCCTGAGAACATGTGCGAACTGGCCTGTTGGGAGGATGTAGGAGCCACATGGAAGACGGCTGAGATCATCCTATACCAGTCAGCCTCTCTACACCTGTCAGGAGACTTGGAGGGCTGAGCGAGCCCAGCTGAGATTCGTAGAACCACTCAAGCAAGCAACCTGTGGGCTAATGAGGAATAATACATAAGTGGTGGTATTTCAAGTGATTACGTTTAAGGAGATTAGTTTGTTATGCTGCAGGGGTGAACTGATCCATGGTACAAGCAGAGACAATCTTTGCAGCTTGCTCGGTGGATTATTTCTGGCTGGTGGATAAAAAAGTTTTGGGAAAGGGGTAAGAGAGTATCCTGTTCATGTTCATGTTCAAATAATAGACCACCAGTTACTTTCAATCACAGGAACCATCTCTGTTCAGTAATTAAAATGTCAGTTCAGTGTAATCATCAAGATGTCAAACTCTATTAAAGATGAAATCTCCTCCTGTCTCCTGACTGACTACTTTCGGACTCGAGGTCTGCAATGGGAGAGGTGGATGTGGTTGGATTCTTTTTCTTTCTTTCTTTCTTTCTTTTTGATTTGAAGTCTCACTCTGTCACCCAGACTGGAGGGCAGTGGTATGCTACTGGCCACAGCAGCCTTGACCTGACTGGGCTCAGGTGATCCTTCTACTTCAGCCTTCTAAGCAGCTGGAACCACAGGCATGCGCCACCATACCCAGCTTTTTTTTTTTTTTGTAGAGTTGATGAAGTCTCACCAAGTTTCCCAAGTTTGTCTTGAACCCGTGGGCTCAGGCAATCCTTCTCACCTCGGCCTCCCAAAGTGCTGGGATTATAGGCGTGAGCCACCACGCCTGGCCTGGATTCTTTTTTCTTTCTCTCCTTGAGAGGCCTTCTGCCTCAGCTCATCTAGAGGGGGATTATTGGGAGTTAAAAGCAAAGATGCATGGACCAGGCAGGTGCAATTCCATTCTCACTGCAGGGTTTATTGGCCCTGGGGGCTTTTCAAACCCAACTCACTCTCTCTTGAAATTCTCCTGTGTGCTCTTCAAGCCTTCTTCCACCACAAATCTCCAATCCGATCCCTGTCAAGTGGGCAGTGCCTTTGCTGTAGTTGTTGCTGTTGTCGACTTGGCGTGTCATTCTGTTACCCAGGCAGCAGTGCCGTGGCACAATCATGGCTCACCTGCAGCCTCAACCTCCTGGGCTCAGGCGATCCTTCTTTCTCAGCCTCTCAAGTAGCCGGGACTACAGGCACATGCCACTATGCCTGTGCTAATCTTTTGATTTCTTTTGCAGAGACGAGGTCTCCCTATGTTGCCCAGGCTGTTCTCGAACCCCTGGGCTCAGGCAGTCCTTCCGCCTCAGCCTCCCAAAATGAGGGATCACAGGAGTGGACCGCCGCTCTCGGCCTTATTTTTTAAGATACACTTTTAGGCATAACATATGCAGAAAAGTGAGCAAATCTGATCGTAAGCTTTGTGATGCATTTCACAAGATGAACACCTTACACGGTATGGCCACCTCCAGACCAAGAACTGGAACGCTCTGGGGGTCCCTGGCATAAATTTAATAGAGCTGCTGTTGCCTCGGCATGCATTGTCAGTCAAACCCTTCATGTCTGGCCTCGTTAAAACTTCCTCCTACTTCTGTGGTTTTTGTAATTTAGCCTGCTTGGTCCTCATTCACTGGCCCAAACCCCAACTCACCCCACAGCTGCTGACCAGGGCAAAACTTAATGGTCAACACTAGAGTTGTGTAATGGACTTGCACGTTTTCTTTAAATCAGCCAACTCACAAGCCCCTAAAAAAAATCAAAGGGATAACACCCACGGCCCTTAATAGGCATGGTCCCACAGGTCCTCTGTCTCTCTCCCCATGCATTGGTTGAACTCCCTGCTGCCCAGACTTCTCCTCATCACTCCAAATCCTGCTGCCATGACACGGCATCCCCAACCTCCCTGGGGTCTGCAAGTAATACATTTCTTCTGCACCACACATTTTGGGTTCAACTTTTGATCGTGTCTCACCTGACCTACACACCCAAACCCAACTCTCTCCCTCTCTCTCCACTCCCACCTCATCAAGGCTCTCCCAGAGAGAGAGGCCTCAAGAACAAATTCGAAAGAAACCGTGACAATAAAAATCACAACAGACCCAGAAGCCCCTTTCTCCTCCCTGTTACTACCTGCTCTCATCCCCTATCAGAATTTCCAGCCTTACAGATAAACAAAAATTGGTTGTTGTTTTTTTTTTTTATAAACCTAGGCTTCCAAGGACATAATGCCTAGGATGACCTCTGCTAGCTCTTAGCTAATCAGCTCACCCCAAAACATGCAAACAAGACTCACTGTTCCCACACTTATAAATCCTGTTGTTGCCTTTATTGTGTGACTCAGTCCGCCAGCTGTCTACTTACAGGTGAGCAAACAGATGACATGCAAAGTCACTGAGCAGTAAGCAAAAGAATGAATGTCTCTTTGAGTTGTTATTTGACAAAGAACAGCTCCTCCCAGGTAGGTTAGGAAATGAGAGAATATATTAAGAATAAAGGGCTCTAAAAGAAGATTGCTTTGTATCATAAAGAGGAATAATTTTTTTTTTTTTGAGTTAGAGTCTCACTCTGTCACCCAGACTGGAGTGCAGTGGCTGCTCCCGGCCACCGCAGCCTTGACCTGCTGGGTTCCAGCGATCCTTCAGCCTCAGCCTTCCAAGTAGCTGGAACTACAGGTGCGTGCTACCACGCCCGGCTAATTTTTTTGATTTGTTGTAGAGATGAGATCTCGCCAAGTTGCCCAGGCGGGTCTCGAACCCGCGGGCTCAGGCAATCCACTCACTTCAATCTCCCAAAGCCCGAGATTACAGGCTGAGCCACCAAACACGGCTAGGAGGAATAATTCTTAATGAATCCAGGAACATACAGCTCCTATGTTTCTTTACAATGTCCAAGTATTTAGGAAAATATAACCCATTTCATATGTATATTTAATTCATTTCATATTCATTAAAATTAAAATTTAGTTTATTTCATTTGTAACAAGTATAAAATATTCTCTGTTCTTTCCATTTATGCCAGAAATCATGTTAAGCATGAATTTTAAAATTCTTTTTAAATATTATAAGCAATTACATAAAAATCAATCTGATGTACAATGATCTATTCTTAAGAAAAACAAAAACCCTAAACCCAAAAAGACCCAATGATCTATTCTTTTTTTTTCAATCCCACCCTTCCCCACCCCAATGATCTATTCTTAATTTTGATGTTTCTAAAGATTTTACTACGAAAAGAGATTCAAAGCAAAACATCAGTATTTGCTGCAGACATTGTTGCATCCAAAATTCTCTCACTAGGAAAATTGGGATGGTGAACCAAAGATGTTTAATGGACCAGTGTGTGAGTTTAACAGTGGTTTCAAATTGAGCTTTTTTCCCTGTTCCTCACTGCCTGAGGGAATCTACAAATTCTATTTCGACTGGGATACTACCAAGGGGAAGGAAAATATTACCATTGGCATTTTACTGTTTATACCAGTTTGTATTCTTCAAACTTTGTTAGCTTTCTATGGAGATTTAACCATTTCTTTTACTTGTAGCAAGATTTCTCAAATTCCTCTGAAGTCCCAAAACAGAAATACTTGGCGAGGCCCCAAAGAAAAGCAACCGAGGCAAAATTTATTCTCCAAATTCGTTTATACATTTGATCAAGATGAATTACTTGAAATACACATAAACATAAAGTAAACAATGCTACGTCTATGATCATAAAATCTTTTATATGAACACAAAATCTTTAGTATTTAATATAGTTTTAAGAATATAAGTCTATCAGTTTTCTCTTGCCCTAATCAAATAAACAATCTTACATATTAGCATTGCTTTCTCGAAAACAAATGTTTTCAGAGCTTTGGGGTACATCTGCTATGTGAGTCACAGATGTCTGATCAACTTTTAGGGTTACAAGGGCTGTCCCACAGGAAGGCTGAGTTTAACGGTGATTTTGGTGGTCTTGTCTTTCAGCAATACCTGCATAAGCTATAGAAGGGGAAATATTAAGAAGGAAGAGATGAAAAGAAAGTTATATTATTCCCTGTCGCTGGAACCATCATTCGAAATCTTTGACTATGCCATTACCCCCACCCTGGGACCTAAAGGACAAGTTTGTGCATGTATTCCCACTAAGGGAATTCCTAATTTCTCAGAAGAACGCTCAGGGTCTGGTGAGGACTTTGTGGAAGGACTCGCCATCCAGAGATAACGCGAGGGAGTAGGGAGCAGGAGTGTGAGAAACACTCGTGAGGCCCAATGAGCAAACCAACACTTTTCCTTCGCAGACATGGGGGAGAGCAGGTCAGTGGTGAAAATCGAGAGGGAGCCTGTGAAATGCACCACAGGTCGCTGTAGGGCTGTAGTACCCTCCCTTGGGCTGCCTTCCAGATGGATGCCAATCCCTGCCTTCTCATCAAGTCTCTGGAGCTGACACAATCGGCTCAAGTTCCCTCATAGACTCGCCTTTCCCCATCCGCCAGATATACCATCAGATGGGGGAGGTATGGCAAGCCTGTGAAAATAGTCATCAGACACTGGTTGAATTGACACTCGATTGGAGAGTAACAGATTGGAGAGATTCACAGGTTCTAAGCTAGCAGAAGTTTCAGCCACTTCCCTTGCCTGAGCAAGTCTTCCTATCAGAGAAGCAGGGAGAATACACCATCCTTCCCATAGCTTGAAAGGAACTTGGAAGACATGCAAATCCTTGGACACGATGCTTCCAAACCAACAGAAATGTATTTTCTTGGTCTGATTTCATCACTCCTAAATCCCTCAGAAGCGCATCTATTTTGCCACAGATGTGCACATAAGTGGTTTGAACGCAAGGTTCACGAAAGTACATTTCTCAGTCTTTCTCTAACTCTGACAATAACCATCACCACCCCATGAAAAAATGTTTTCTGCCTTCTCGAAAAACTATCTTCACCTTTATCCTGGAGTTGAAGAGTCACTTAAACATTTTTTGTGGCTCTGCTTTAATCCTTCCATATATGATCTAAAGCGAAAACAGTATAGTTTATTCTTTAAAAATAATGTTCTTCATTTGATGTCATTATCATTTTTTATTTTATTCTTAAACATGCCTCGGCATCTTACTATTCTGAAGGCAGAGGAGTGACAGATGGATATGGTAATCGGAATGCTGACTTCAGTGGTTACCGTAGGTGTAGAGGCAGCACTAAATTTTTCAAAGAATGAGGCTGCCACAAATGTGCAGCTGAACGGGGCATTAACTCATGGCAGATGAGTGCAGATGGGACATACAGGGGGAGATTTTTTCATTGATGTTGAGTGCAAATGCCAAATAACGAAGGCCATAATTCAGCAGGCATGAATGAACAGAAGCAGGTTGAATTAATCTCGAATGTATATTTCCTTGGATTATCTGACATTCACCTGCTTGCCATCGCTTTATTATATAGTTCAATTAAGTATTTGATATCTTCTCGATTGTTTCTGCCAAGTAACTATAGGTCAAACCTCCTTGCAATGAACTTCAGAGGGTCTAGGGGGTTGGATCAAGAGTGTTAAGAAAAGGTGCTCAGATTAGAGGGTTTTGTTGGAGCAACAATACTGATGACCAGGGGTTATGGGGTACTGACTATGCTCTAAGAAATATTATACATGTTTTATAACAATTAACTTATTGAAACCTCAGAACAGCCCTGCGGAATTGGATGTTATTATATTCATAAATTAAGCAACTCGCCCGAGGTGCTCAGCTAATAAGTGGAAAAGGTAGAATCTGAACCCAGGAGTTTATGGACCAGAATAGCCCATTTATCAGACCTGAAGGTATTTGTAGATTACTCCCAAGTCACTGATTTTGGAATTAAAGTGCATGGCGTTGAGGAGAGAAAGAAAGCTGGGATAGCAATTCCTGCTCTCCCCATTACTAGTGAGGTGACTTCGGGAAACTCTCCCAGGAGCCTCAGTTATGCCATCTGTAAAATAAGGATGATGATACCACTATCTCATTGAGATGAAATGATGCATTTAAATGGTCAACACACAGAGACTGTCACTGTCTGCTCTCTACCCGTTCTAACTGTGGTTAAAGAGAAAAAGTTTATTTTGATTATCCTGCTGACCAAGAAGCATGCAATATTTGACAAGAGTTCTCTGCTTGGTTGAACTTTAGCCGGGCTTCTGAATCGTCTCCTCTGCCCACTTCCTTGTAAAAGCTAGTTTTAGCAAGAACTCTGCTAAGTCAATTTAGCAAGATGCTCCACCCTCCATATCCAATTACCTTGTATACCTGATCATGCTGCATACCTGCTTACCCTCCATACCTGATCACCTTCCATATCCAATCAGGTCCCACCATCTCCCAAGTGACGTCCGATTACCCTGGCCTGCTTTCTGCAAGAATTCTGTTAGGCTGGTTTAGCCAGAAATCCTCCTAACCCCTGATGTTTTCTTTTAGCAAATTTCCATCCCCTGGCTTCCACCCTAACTCCTTGGCTATAAATTCCCACTTGCCCATGCAGTATTCAGAGTTGAGCCCAATCTCTCTCCCTCTACCGCCAGACCACATTGCAGTGGTCCCTACACCGATCGAGATGATTCTGAATTAAGACTTCCATACCATGCTTTAATCAAGTATCTTTGAATGACTTTTCTTTTTCTTTAACAAACTGTCATGCTATGGTCTGACCTCTTGCTTCAGTTGGTGAGGGGACAGAATCGCTCACCTGGAGTGGAACGCCGCAGCCCAGCACTAATGCTGGTCGTGTCGGGACTCTCCAGAATGCTCCAGAATATATTCAGGTGAACTTGCCGCTGGCCAGCCCTTGAAGGACTCTGCCGTCAGGCCTGGGTATATTCTCCAGAGGGTCGGGAAAATCATTCTCCTGGGTACCGCCCAGCCTGGCTGCCCTTCTTCCCATCTAACTGGGCCCCTTTTCTGCCAACCGCCCTGAAACATGCTCCCTAAGCGGCACCTTAGCTGCCTCCAGCTCTCGCTGGCCTATCAGGTCCTCGATTTAAGGTCACTATTTCACTGTTTCATGCTTCATTGAGTATGCTTGCCTTGAATACACACTCATGGAGGAGGTGAGTTTCTCATGACAGACACACATCTGAATCTACTGCAGAAAGAGCAGTGAAGGCAGCTGGATATATAAATTCACTAACCCGAGGTGAAAAAACAAAGAGCAGGTATAGACAGAGAGCCTGTAAACTCAAGAGATGCATTTCCCTGGCTCCCGGTCCTGTTGCTTTTGTCTAGCACGGGGCCTCACGTGAGCAGTGCTCAGTGACAGATCGTGTAGGATCTCCGCGCTCTGGAGAACTCAGAATGAGAGTTTGCTCAGGAAAGCAAGGTCCCTGGAAGGTTCCGATTCTTCTGAGGACTCTAGGGCATGCACAGTTTTAGGCTGTGTTCCCACAGTCAAGACCACTGTTAACCTACTTTGAGGACAACGCATCTGCTGCTAACGGTCTCTGACCAAGCACAACTCATCTGTTCAAGAGGAGAACTTGTACACAAAGAGAAGGCTATGCACAGTGGCTAAAGATCCAACATATGCAAAGAAGTTTTCAAAATTAGTACTAAGACAAATACTATCACCGTTTTTTTTTTTTTTAAATCAGTCTTGCCGCCTCCCCGCCCCAATGGAGGAGTTTCAGTTCAGCTTCTCTCCATGGCATCGAGGCCCATTTCTGGCCTCTCCAACCTGTGTCCTGTACTACTCAGGGCATAGACTACCATCCTCCAGTCCAGTATTGTGGACTAAGATCAGGCAAGTCAGAGCTCCAGTCTCTGTTCCATTATTTCCCTGTGTTTACTTGCTGTGTGGCTTCATGCAAGTCATGTAGCTTCTCTGAGTCTCAATTTCCTCATCCATCATATAACAACGATGACATCAAATTGTGAAGGAGAATTATTGGGTTGGTTTGCCAGAAATCCTCCTAACCCCTGATGTTTTCTTTTAGCAAATTTCCATCCACTGACCCCCACCCCGCTCCTTGGCTATAAACGCCCCCTTGCCCATGCCATATTTAGAGTTGAGCCCAGTCTTTCTCCCTCCACCGCAAGACCACATTGCAGTGGTTCCTACACCGACCGAGATGATTCTGTAGTAAGATTTCCATAGCATGTTTGAACCAAATATCTTTGAATGATTTTTTTTTTCTTTGACAAACTGTCATGCTATGGTCTGACCTCTTGCTCCAGTTGGTGAGTGGATAGCACTGCTCACCTGGAGCTGAACGCCTCAGTCCAGTACTAATGCCGGTTGCTCTGGGATGTTGCAGAATAGGTGAGCTTGTCCGGCTTTGAGATAATGCATATAAAGGTTATATAGTAGGGGTCAGATAAAGAGCAACGCACAGTCTTAGATCTTTTGAATCGTACCTCAATTTAATCTTTTCGAAAATCCTTTCTGTTCAGACTAGTCAATGTTTTCTTTCTTTGCATGCTAGGAGCATTTTCAGTGCACGTCACTCAGCTTAGTGGTTAGTGGTGCTCTGTCGCTGAGTTAGTGGAGACACGCCAGGTAAGCCTATCCAGGCATTTCACACTTCTAAGCATGCTAGGCACACGTCAATGCACTGCAAAACCGAAGCTATCAGTGATCAATGGATATGCTGTTATAATCACTTCCGGCAAAATCACCTAAACCAAAGGTGATTCTTGAGTCCTTTATCATGTTTGGGTAATGTGATCTTTACAGATTTCCTTAACCACCTGCAGTTTTTGGAAGGCAGCTATGCTAACCACTATACCACCAACGCCACCTGCAGTTTTTGTTTCCCCGGGAAAAACTGTGTGGAAAAGGAGGGTCTTGGTGTCCCTACCTGCTTGCCTGTGACAGTGTCCATCAGAAATGCCAGGATCCTGAGGACCACGCTGCTCACACCCACGGAACACTGGCTCTGGCTCATCACCTGGGCTGGCTCCACACTTGGCCTTCCATGCACCTCGAGTGGGTGAAGAATCTGGAGGGCGGAAAAGTGCCTGGTCTGGCTGGTCGAGAGTCTGGTCATCTGGGAGCACTTCCTTGACATTCCCCACCTCCTCCTCCTCTTCCTCCTCTTCTATGCATGACTGAAGTATATGAATCACATATTCCAAAAGCAGCAAATGAAATAGATGCCAGGAGCCTACATTTAAATAATAACCAAAAGGAATACTTTTGGTAGATAGGCAATAAATAAATCACCAGGAGATGAACAACTTATCTGCAGAGAACACCCATGTCCCAGAGCCTCATGCCTGTAGCTGACCCTGAAGGCCTGGGTGGGGTCCATCATACATGTAGAAATCCACGCTTAGACAATCCCCAGCAGGGCAGCTTGTGGGCAGAAAGGACAGAGAGCTAAATAGCTTGAGCCACAAGAGGGAACGTGAAACCCATCAGTGTGAGATAGGAGGAAAGCAAATCCTACAGGCAAAGGTGCTGTTCCTGGGGCTGGAGAATGTGCCCCTTGGCCTCATGGCGCCCCATGGTTGGCACACAGGGACGTCAAGAAGGAGGTGGGACGACATGGGGGCAGAGTGAGGAAGGGACCCTGCTGCCGTCCCGTGGAGCTTGAAATGTAGTGCCTCTGCCTTCTTGCAGTTGCTGTGGCTGCATCTCCTTGTGTGGGCAGCGGGTAAGGAAGCCGGCTGGTTCTCCTGGAAAAGGCATCACGTGGGCCTGCAAGTGCTGTCAGTAGGAAAGTTGTGGAGGGGAGACAGGAGGGCTTGCAACTTAGCTGAATGCTCTAGATCCCAAGCTCTCCCAGAAAAGAAAATGATTGCTAATGTTTGCCTGAGGAATAGAGGGGAAATCTGGCCTGTGGCAGTCGTTGAAAGATAATTTTTAAGTAAAGGTAAAACCATGACTCTCCCACAGACGTAAGATGAACACACATCAAAGATTTTATTTAACTCATTGATGAAAGAGGGAACTAGTAAGATGTTTCAAGCGGGTAAAAAGATAACTCAAAGAACTAAACACAAACTATAGGCAGGAGGGGATGGTGACATTAATTTACAAACAGATGCTGAAGGGACCTGTCCTCATGGTAGTATCAATTGCATCCACCTGACACAAGGACTCTGCAATTCTGTGGAAGCAGACCCATTTGCATTACCCGTTTGCTACAACTTACAGAGCTATAAAAATAACTGCAAGATAATGAAAGGTAAAGATAACCCAGAGGAGTGTGGGGTTGGTACCTTTCATCGGTTTCAAAGCCTTTTGTTCAAGTCAAGTAATCTTTGTGTCCATTTCAAAGCCCTTCACAATTTTTTCCCTGCATAATGCTCATTGTTCCTTGATGGATCTGGGATGAGAGATACTGTCCCTGTAGGATAGCCGGAACTGTCTGAAATAAGCCTGACCCACTTAGACGTGTGAAACCAAAGTCCACGTGAAGAAGAAAGACTGTTGGTGTTAATACTTTGACTTCATACGGATGTCCAGAGAAGCGAGACTGGGAAAAGTAATAACTACAAGGCTCGTGATTGCATGTGAATTTTGCTCTCCCTATTTCTGTGATTGCATGTGAATTTTGCTCTCCCTATTTCTCTGGATGAGCATTAACATAAAGCAGAGTGACTGTGGACTTCATTAAAGGGGAGGACCTCATTACAAATGGGTGTCACCTATTCGGCAGCTTATGGCAGCAGCCCTGCAGAGCTCCAGGTGTTTGCAAAACTGGTCTGCCTTCCCTTCCTTCTTGCCTGCTTGCTGGGAGGGCATCTGGCCACCCTCTGGGGCAGGGATTACTTGCCCTGACTAGAGTGTCAACTCACAAGGGTGGAGACTTCGTCTTTTTACAGCTGTATGCCCAGTGCCAAGGAAGGTGCCTGGGACATTGTAGGGACACAAGAAATACCTGTTGAAGGAACGCTCCATTCCATGAAGCTAGTGGGCTGAATGGTGAACTTCTCTTCCTATAGCCCTCTTTACGAGGCATCTGAGTCAAAGAGGTGCCCTTCCCCAACTCAGGAAGTCCAATGATTTGACCAGGAAGTTTGCAAAATGCTTACTACTTAACTCTTTCTACCATCTGCATATGTTGGCGGTTTTTATCAAGGATTAGTCCTGAGAAATGAAGTATGGGTGCTCTGAAGAACCCATTTTTTTTTTCTTTCCTCTCAGTTGTCTCTCTCAGTGCTTTTCTCAAAATGTCTCAAAGCTCATAATTCAAAAACAAGGGGAGGTTTCCTATGTGTCTAGCAATGATGGAACAGGAAAGAGAAGCATAGTTCATCTGTCTGGTGGACTATCACGTTGCCGTTGAAGAAAGATGACTGTGGTTTTCTGAATCTATATTGTATTTTACATAAAAAGGTTAAAAGAAGATGGCTAGATTCTACATAGCAATATACAAGATACTTATGCTATGATATCATTTTTGAAAGGTAGAACGCAAAGGGTTGTATATTCTCTGACTTACCAAAGCTGTCTCTGTGACAGAGGGTCATAGCTTTGCTCACGGCAGTGAGAAGGAAATTCCACTTTAGCTGGAAACTGGCCGCCAGTTTGAGAAACTCCTCTTTACTTCTGCTGGGCTATTATGTTTTTGTGAGAAAAAAAGGCTGGATTTATGATAAAAATCAAGGAGCATAGCTTGTTTTCAAATGCACACAAATTGGACAGGCACAGACACTTTAAAAGAGCTAAAGAGGAAGACAAAACAGTGAGGTGGGCCCTGAGGCAGCAGCAAACATGGGGCCCATTTCTAGTCTTGCTCTGTCCACCGTGGAGATGGCTCCAGGGCAAAACCCTTTAAAGCTAGTGGAGAGAAGGGGAGAGAGGTAGGAAATTGGCCACTTTTTTTTTTTGTTATTCACTGTGAAATTTTAAAAAAGAAGTCATTTGTGACAGAGAAATTCTGGAAGGGCAGCTGCACCAAAGTCTGCTTGGGAATGGCCATTGCGAAGAGTGGGGACTGTTTTATACTAGGACTTCTGCATGCCAAGCCTGATTGTGAAAAAGGACATAGAATCCCAGAATGACGAAAACCAAAGGTGCTTATTTGGGAAGGCACGCAGCTGGTTGCCGTGCCGTGCAAACGGTCTCAGGACTGGAAAGGCCTCGCCCCGGCATCCAGCAGAGGTGTAGTCATCTGACAGCCTGATTGACACCAAACTGGATACCGGCAGGATGTAAGTGGAGTCACATGAATTTCAAATGTGCATGTTGATACACATGCTCCAAAGCCTCTTCTAATTCTCAGTCACATGCCTGGGACCACCCACCGACTCGACCACATGTCTTTGAGGAAGATGAAGAGGCTGACTAGGAATGACGAGATGCCCTTTCTTTGCCATTGCTTCTCTTCCTTTCTGACTCAGTGACAGCCCCCGACACACCAAAGGGTTGCCCTGAGCTTTGGGTGGCTGTGAACTCCTTTGGAGGCAGCATCCTCCCCAGTTGTCCTTACCATCTGAAACAAGGCTCTTGGGAGGAACTCCTCCCATCAGTGTTCAATGGGGTGGGGGGTGGGGGGGGGGGGGGGGGGGAGATTAAATTAAGGGGACAATGGGAGGACAAAAAATAGGAATACTTTCTAAAAGCATTGTAGGCACTTCATGTTCCCCCATTTAGAAATTATTCTGGGGCCCAAATGGCACAAGAACAGTGAGAACAAAACACACGACAAAGTCGGACGTTTCCCTCTGCAGGGGTACTGCCAGATGCTAGCAACTGAAGCCATGAGTCATCTCTGACAAGCCCAAGGGTTTGCATTTTAACAGTCTGAGTGTTTTTACTGACAATGGTCTGTTTAAAAAAAAAAAAAAAAAACAGTCAAGCTATTTTATAAAAGCAAATCCTTCAAATGCAAGCAGTTACAAAAACACCATTTTCCTAACACGCCTCATTTGTGAAGACTGGAGGTAAGATGATGGAGATTTGGGAAGCAGAATGTTACTTGGTTTACAATGATAGGATTGGCAGAAATGATCTCGGGGGCTCAGTGGTTAAAGCTGGAGGCTGAGTGAGTCTACCAAATAAGGAACAGACTATTGACAGCTTCTGTCAGTGACGATAGACAAGCCTTCGGTGACCGTAGGAATAAACGTCCCAGTAGCCATGCAGCTCTGGACATGGTCACTGCTGCTATTAATAAGCTTTGCCCAAGACCAACAAAGAGGAATATAAGCCACAGAGAATCTGGAATGAATATATATTTTTTTATTTTTGAGTTGGAGTCTCACTGTCGCCCAAACTGGAGTGCAGTGGCCGCTCCCGGCCACCACAGCCTCGACCTGCTGGGCTCTGGCGATCCTTCCGCCTCAGCCTTCCAAGTAGCCAGAATTACAGGCGCTACCACATCCGGCTAATTTTTTTGATTTATTGTAGAGATGAGGTCTCGCCTGCCCAGGCGGGTCTTGAACCCACGGGCTCAGGCAATCAGCCTCCCAAAGGCGTGGGATTACAGGCTGAGCCACCGAGCCCGGCTTGGAATGAATATTTTTAAGAAGCAGATGAAGCAGACACCTGCCAGGGTGGGAATCAGCTTTCCAGCTCCTTCTTGAAGAATCTTCTGGTTCACCTCTAAGAGGTTTAAGACTGCAAAGACCCCTGTAGTCTCAGTTATTATTTCTGCCCTTTCTCCTTGACTGAGAGGTCAGAGATACAGACAAGGCCGGGTGAGTGGGACAGAGAATAGCAGCAATGTGGCCAGAAGCTTTGATAAGAACGCCCAAAGCTGTGCTCCCAGCCCAGGCCCTCCGATTCTTTCTTTGCTCTTTGCACCAGGGTCCACCGTTCCTTCTTCTCCAAGGACGCCCTCCATTTCCCAAATACTCACTTCTGCCCTTGAATGCCTTGTCTTCCTCTTAGCTTATTTTAATCTCACACATGCTTTGCATCCCAGCTTAAGTCCCACCTTCCCTTCGAGGCCTTTCCCACCCCTCAGCTTTGGGGAGCATGGTGGCTCAACAGGCAGGGCCTGCTTTGTTTCCCTCTAGGTTGTAATCCACACCCCCTAGCTCCCCCAAAGCACCCCAGGATCACTAGAGCGAGGGTCCGTGGCCTCTCTGCTCCCCAAGGGTGACCAACCACGCAAATAATGCTGAAAATCAAGCCCAGGACCCTACTGAAGTGCTCCCAGTAGCCACGTGGACCAGAAGGACCAAAGCCACCCACATCTGCAACCAAGCCATCTTTGAGCTTTGGAAATCAAGCCAGACATTTTATTGGGACCCGTCTGCAAAGCATGCAGACAAGTGCTATTCTTTCCAAACAGACAAAAGCCCACCTACATGCATGCTCACCTGCACAGACACGCTCAATGCACCCTCACCAACTCACACACACACACACACCCACCTGGACACACGTGCTCATACACCGACACATACATGCTAACCACTCACACACAAATGCTCAGAAACACACCTACATGCTCACCTCCCTACACGTTTACCCCCATACCCATGATCATCACACACACATGCTTATCACACACTCACACACACGTGCTCCCTCGCACACACATGCTCATCTACTCACACACACACATGGTCACCCCCACACACGCATACACTTTTGTGATGTGCCCCCGTCAGACTCTGCCCTGCTACAAAGGGACAGGCCACCCCCTGCCCCCGCTCCCACGCCAGCCCTGATACATCTCTGGCCAGAGCTTGAGAAATCTCTTTCTCATACTCACAATGAGCATTTTGGCTATAATTTAGCTAGAATGATCAACACCCACTCTTTTCCTTTAAAAAGTCCTGGTTTTTATACCTGGAAGACAAATGCTTGGAGATTTGATGACAGACAGCTCAGGAATACACTGAGATCTGTTGATGTTCCCAGCAGAGAAATTAAACTGCTTAAGCCTACAAAAAACAAAACAAGCAAAAAGATTGCATGTGCCACAACAAAATCTATAGATATTTGTGTACCAGGTAACCTAGGGGATAACGTTGAAAAGTAGTTCAAAGGGATTCTCCAAGGCCTCTCGCTTATTTTGAACACTACGGCTGGATTTGTCACCTCTGGGGTCACCTCGTTCAGAGTCCTATGGTCCTGCCTGCTATGATCCACCTTTGCTACTTGCTGAAATGGAAAAAAATATTTTGAAACAATAACCACACCTTGCAATTATACAGACCCCGCCTTCAGATGAGCTCACTGCACGATGCAGACATGACCTCACCTATCCTTGCCATTGTCATAAAAGGGCTGACTGGTTTATTAATGTCACGTAAGGGATGGCCGACATCAAAGCTGCTGAGGGACAAGCAGTGCCTCCAGCGAGTGTGACATCAGGTCCTGGGCCCTCCACCTGCACAGGTTGCATGACAGGGAAAGAAGAGCCTTTGGCCTTCCCGGCTTTTTGAGTGCCTCTGGGTGGCAGAGTTTGGAAAACTGAGGAGATTGCTGTGACCCAGGCTGAGACTTGGTGAAGGTTCACCCGGACTTAGAAGCACCTGCATGCCAGGTCTCAGCAGTGGCTCTCAATGTGATGTCATCCTGCAGGACTCTGCATCCTCTCACTGGGACTTACAAAGATGCCAGGAGTGTGGGAGCCCTGGCCAGGCCAGCGAGCATTCTGGCAGGAACCTTGTTGGGACTAGGGGGGTGGCTTGCGCCTTTCTGGAGTTTCCTGGGCTCGGACTAGGGAGAGCAGGGTTTGGGTGGCCACCTGGGATTTCTGGTGCCCTGGGAGGGGAACCTTTTGGGTTCCTACCAAACAGAATTGTGGTCTGAAGCCTGCTAGGTTAGGTGTCAACCTTTTGGTTGCTGGATTGGTGGGAAGAAAAGTGCCCCAGGGGAGGATCTGGGATTTTCGTCAACCAGGGCCACAGGGACTGAACCCACAATCAAGGGACAGGACAGTGAAGGAGAACAGGCAGAGGTTATTACCAGCGAGTATGGACCTATTTCAATATTTTAATAACCGGTATAATCTGACCAAGGTCATCCTACTTCCAGGTGAAGGAAAGAAGACTGGATAGTTCACAGGTGGGGATTCTATGTATTGCTGAATCCATGTATCCGCTAGTCATAAAGTACTGAATTGCTACTAGGTGCCAGCATGATGCTAGGTGGCCCCAGATGAATATAACACAGCTGTCACCCTGAAGGAGCTCCCAGGAGCTGGGCAGGCAGCTCCCTACATGGTTGGGTGTACTGGGTCGGGTTATGTCCATGGAAGGAGGGGCAACTCAATCTTTTTTGGGTCATCCTGGCCGGGGGTGTTTGGAAAGGGCACAAACAGGGGAACCTGGCACCTGTGCCACCTTCCTATTGACCATCATGGGAGGGCCTATGGTCTGGCCAATTATCCATAATCTGGGGGAGGGGGTGGTAACTATGCTCTAGCCCTTCTCCTGAAACGGCTCAAATATGTCCTCCCTGAGTTCTTTCTCTCACTACTTTTGCCACCCCCCCCCCCCCCCCCCCCCCGTCCCCGGGATGTAACCAAAAGCAAGTCAGCCAGCAAATTCTCACTCTTTATAAAAGAAAGCTACCAGTTTCGCGTGGTGGCTCACACCTGTAATCCCAACACTTTGGGAGGCTGAGGTGGGAAGATCACTTGAAACCAGGAGTTCGAGGCCAACCTGGGTAACATAGTAAAACCCCATTTCTTTTCTCTTTTCTTTTCTCTTACTCTGTTTCCCAGACTGGAGTGCAGTGGCATGCTCACGGCCACCACACCCTCAACCTGTTGGGCTCAGGTGATCCTTCCGCCTCAGCCTTCCAAGTAGCTGAAACTACAGACACATGCCACCATGCCTGGCTAGTTTTTGTGATTTATTGTAGAGACAAGGTCTCACCAAGTTGTCCGGGCTTGTCTTGAACCCCTGGACTCAGGCAATCCTCTTGCCTCGGCCTCCCAAAGTACTGGGATTACAGGCTGAGCCACTCCATCCGGCCGAGACCCCATTTCTTAAAAAAAAAAAAATTAGCTAGGCCTGGTGGCTCATGCCCGTAGTCCCAGCTACTCAGGAGGCTGAGGTAGGAGGATTACTTGAGTCAAGGAATTCAAAGTTGTAGTAAATTCTGACTGTGCCATTGTACTCCAACCTGGGTGACAGAGCAAGACTGTCTCAAAATAGCAACAATAATAATAATCAGATAGCAAATGTCAAAAATATCCACATGACTTTGTGCCACTTGTTTATAAAGTAGTAAAATACGGGAAAAGTACCATTGTCAAACTTCACATTGTTAAAAAATAATACATGACACCACTAATAGGAGTGGCAGCTGATTCTGGGGAGGAAGAGAGCTAACTCAATCCAATTCAGGCATGATGGAAGAGACCCTTGAATCTGTGCATGTACAAAATAGACACAAAAATTAAATGTTTTCCCAAAGAGAGATACTCCAGTGAGAAATATTGCCAAGTGGCAATCACTTTTTTTTTTTTTTGAGTTAGAGTCTCACTCTGCCGCCCAGGCTCACGTCACTGCAGCTTCGACCTGCTGGGCTCGAGCAATCCTTCTGCCTCAGCCTTCCAAGTAGCTGGAACTACAGGTGCACACCACCAAGCCCAGCTAATTTTTTTGTGATTTATTGTAGAGATGAGGTCTCACCAAATTGCCCGGGCTGGTGTCGAACCCCTGGGCTCAGGCAATCCTCTTGTCTTGTCTTCCCAAAGTGCTGGGGTTACAGGTTTGAGCTACCATGCCTGGCCGTGGCAATCACTTTTATCTGTTCGTTCATTTACTCAACAAGCACATATTAGCGCTGCTGCCCTGTCCTATTGTGGGGTGAGTCCTGAAAACACAGGGACACAGGGCAGTCTCTGGGGCATTCATCACCTCCTGCAGGAAGAGATGTATAAGCAGATACATCAGGACATCAAAGGGTGATAACGTTCTACCTCCATTAAGAGATTCAGGAATTAATGATGGCCGTGCTATTCCCAAATATACACCAAGCACTCCAGTAAAGAAAGCTGTAGACGAGGTTGGGCACCATGACTCATGCCCATAATCCTAGTACTTTGGGAGGCAGAGGTGGAAGGATTGCTTGACTCCAGGAGTTCAAGACCAGCCTGGGCAACACAGCAAGACCTTGTCTCTGCAAAAAAAAAAAAAAAATTAGCTGAGCATGACGGGCCATGCCCGTAGTCCCAGCTACTTGGAAGGTGGAGGCTAGAGGATTGCTTGAGCCCAAGAGTCTGAGGCTGCAGTGAGCCATGATCACACCGCTGTACTCCTGCCTGGGAGACAGAGTGAGACTCCAGCTAAAAAAAAAAAAAGTTAAAATTAAAATTAAAAAAGGAAGTTTACATTTCATCTCCGAGTTGTTCTCCAGGTTATCCGCCTTGTTGGAGTCACTTTCTAGGGCTTTCTTAGAAATATCCACAGCGCCCTGGAGGATGATGGTGTGCAGATCCAACTTCAAAATGCTGACCCTCTGGTTATTTCTCAGTACCATTCTCATGGTCTAAAGATGATGGGGAAGCATAATATGTAATTAAATCTTGTTATTATACTTTTGCTTAATCCCCCTCTCCAAATTGCCAAGATTTGCTTTGCTGTCCCCGAGGAGAAGGAAAAGTGGATGTGGGTATTACCCATTACAATGGAATCTTCAACAACAATTAAAATGTGAAAATTCCACACATTCTGGAACTGACTTTCTGGAAACCAGCATTTCGAAGACGTTTGCTGATAGGTGGAAGTGTTCGGGGCTGTCAGTGTACTGCTATTTCCTATTCTCTGCACCCCACTCCGTATGCCTAAATTACTCTAGAGAGAAAAATGGGTGATTGAGTATCCATGAGGGAAATGTAGGTATGGTGTGGATCGATTCCGAGGGGGAGCCCGGGGGGGATTCCAAAGCTGTTTGTCCTTTCCCTGTGGGGGCCTTGGACAATGAGCTCATTTCCTCAGCTGCCAAACGGGGACAATGTAATCCCTGACATTTTCAGGCTGTGTAGGAAGGACACTCAGTAGTCCTCCTACCAGTCCTAGGTGCAGGCACTATAACCCCCTTCATTTTACAGAGAAGGAAACTGAGGGTACTTGGGGTGTTCAGGAACTTTCCCAAGGGAGTCCCTTAATGATGAGGCTCAGAACAAGGGCTGGCTCTCGAACCCAAGCTTGCTGCTCTGATTGGGTTGAGATGAAGGACTTGGTGCAGGACCATTGCCAGAGTGAGCGAGTCACGAGTGTGGAAGCCCTGGAGAACAGGATGGCCATGAGGGCTTGAGCGGGGCACAACCCCAACGAACCCAGAGTCTGGGGAGGGCTTTGTGCTGGAAGGATGGAGACCCAGCACGGGTTCCAGGGAAGACCCAACAGAGAGCCTCTCAGTGGAGACTGATAGGGAGCAGAGTGACAGTCCCCAGGCTCTGTCCTGGTGCCCACAACATTTCAGAACAGCATCCTAGCATTTTTTCTTCAACTCCTCTCAACTCTCCTCTAACACAGCCGCTACAGACTCACCCTAAGAGTGAAAAGATCAGAGTTGCGGAAGCTGTGGTCAAACTGAACCCATGGCATCACACACAGGGCTCAAGGGGTCTGTGTTTTCTAGGCCCTGCGATGACACCCTTTCACCTCTGACACCAGCTGGCCCAGGTGGCCACCTTGGTATGGGACCTCCCTCAGGTATCTTTTAAGTTTTGATCTTTCTCTTCTGCCCAGTGAGAGCTCAGGAGATTGGAGTCTTTCTGAGGAAGGATAGGAAAGGAGCAGGCTTCTAGCCAGAAGTCACGTGGCCTACCAGGCCTCCAAGGCCCTCCTGCCTGCCTTCTGCCCTCCAGGGGGATGGAGAGGCCACCTGCTCCCGGGAGATGCTTGCAGATCTCACTTCTCACTCTGGGAAATTGCTTTGATCCCTCCCGTCTGTTTGGCTGCAACCTACCTTTGCCATGTTGGAAAGGTAGGTCTTTCTTCTTAGTCTTTTGACAAACACAGTGACCTCTGTTAAGAACAACACAGGTGGCCATTACTGATACTAGAACTTAAAGTCCTCATGAGCTACAGTGGAGAAGAAGAGCTGCCCATGTTTTGAGCAGGAAGACACAGCTGTCTAAATTGCATCCTCACTTTCCCCCATCTGCTGGTCCTTTCCTGAATGGCTAGGGTATTTCAGCAGGGCCTACTTGACTAAAATGTTCCCATGTGCCAGTGAAATAGCTAATGAAATATGCAAAATAATTACAATAACTTGCTTGACATAAGTAACTCCATTTTATTAAAATCCTCCATCTTAGTTGCCTACCTAACCTAAAAATAGCCCCCCAATGTATACGTGTGATTACTGTAATGTTCCCATGACTATAGACCCACAGCTTTGTTCCTCTAAGCTGTTCACACTGACCGATCATGCTAACTGTTTGTAATACTCCCTAGCTACAAGTTCCATGTAAGTGTATGCTTTGTTAACTGAAATTAGATGTTGCCCCAAGAAATTGTTAAGAAATTATTACTGGCTGGGTTCGGTGGCTCAGCCTATAATCCCAGCACTTTGGGAGGCCGAGGTGAGTGGATTGCCTGAGTCCGCAGGTTCGAGACCCACCGGGTAACTTGGTGAGACGTCATCTCTACAGTAAAGAAAAAAAAAATTAGTCAGGTGTGGTAGCACACGCCTGTAGTTCTGGCTACTTGGAAGGCTGAGGTGGAAGGATCGCCAGAGCCCAGCAGGTCGAGGCTGAGGTGGCTGGGACCATGCCACTGTACTCCAGTCTGGGCAACGGAGTGAGACTCCAACTCAAAAAAAAAAAAAAAAGAAATTATTACTTATAAAAACTACCCCTACCACGTCCCTATAGTTTATTGTTATATTTTGTTCCTTTTTAGTTCCTTGTTCCCTTACCCTCTTACTATGTAGACAACCTGCAGATTTTACCTATATACGTTTTTTGCTGATTATATTCTGTGTCAAGAACTTCATGGCAAGAGCCTACTCTTGACTGCACGCTAATAAAGGACTCACTATTAATTTGGACTTGGCATGATGGCGTGACTCCTTCTCACACTTCGGTCATAACACCAGAAAAATTAGGTAATCTCAGCATCTGACATGAGTGCTGCTATGGTCTGAGCATTTGTGTCCCTGTTTCCAAATTCATATGTTGAATCCTTATCTCTAGGGTGATGATATTAGGAAGTGGCGACTTTGGGAGGTGATTAGGTCATGAGGGTGGAGCCCTTACAAGTGACATTAGTGCCCTTAAAAGCAGAGGCCCCAGGGAGACCTCTCGCCTCTTCCGTCATTAGAGGACAAAGCAAAAAGACAGCTGTCTATGAACCAGGAAGCAGGCCTTCACTAGACAGCAAATCTGCCAGCGCCTTGACTTTGGACTTCCCAGCCTCCAGAACCATGAGAAATGTATTTCTATTGTATATAAGCTACTCAGCTTGTGATATTTTTTTAAGAGTAGCCAGATTGAACTAAGACAGGTATTCAAAGTGGTTTATGATTTTGTCCAGGAACCCTGAGCACTTCTAACTTTCTCATCTCCTTGGAAAATGATCAAAGGGAAGGAAAGAATGAAAAGAGAAACATAAAGCGAGGTGAGTACATTCTTCTTGAATGTATTCATTCATTCATTTGACAAATATTAAGGAGAACAGTTATGCAGTGTTTGCTCAACAAATTAGTTGCTGGACGTTTGCTGAGTTGATGAATCGAGGACATTCTTTCCTTTGAGGGGCTCATCCTTTGGGGGATGGGTCGCCAGGTAGGCAAACACTTCCTAACAGCAGGTTAAGTGCTCCATGGCAACATGAAAGCACAGAGGAGAAGAAAGTGAGTGGTTCCAGGAAGGGAGAAGCCTGTTTAGAAGAAGGTATCAAGGAAGACTTCACTGAGAAGGTGACATCTAATCTGGGTTTTGATGCACAGATAAGAATTAGCCGGGAGAATAAGGGTGGGAAGATAGGTGCAGGGATAGGAGTCCAGACATAGAAAATAGCAGGAATAGGCCGGGTTCGGTGGCTCAGCCTGTAATCCCAGCACTTTGGGAGGCCGAGGTGAGCGGATTGCCTGAGCCTGCGGGTTCAAGACCCGTCTGGACAACTTGGCAAGACCTCATCTCTACAATACATCAAAAAATCAGCTGGGCGTAGTCGCGCGCGCCTGTAATTCCGGGTACTCAGAAGGCTGAGGCGGAAGGATCGCCGGAGCCCAGCAGGTGGAGGCTGCAGTGGCCGGG